TCATGTTAGTTCAAGGAAACGTCGGGAGAGTTAAGAAATTGAGTGTGGTTGTTGGGGAAAGTGGGCGTGGTTTGAACATAACTCTCCGAAATCATAACTCTCCGAGATAACTCTCCGGTTGGTAACTCTCCCTTTAGTCATACCCCTCTGGTAGGAATGGAGCTATGTAATAGAGCTTTCCCCTTATGAGTGAAATTTTGATCTAGACAAGCCTGGACAAAAATTTCATCACATCTTGAAAGAGCATCACAAAATTAGTAATATTCCGAAGTTTCGTTGCGAAATGTTATAAAATGCGGATAATATAGCCTTACGAAGTTTGCCGTTTTTCAGTCATTTTGTATTACAAACGGGAAATTGGTAATCAGTTTGATCATCTGAATAACTTAGGAATATTACTAATTTTGTGAGGCTCTTTCAAGCATGTGATGAAATTTTTGTCCAGGCTTGTCTAGATCAACCAGAGTGGCTATGGTTACATTTTGTAGAATTGTTGTATTATTGAAACTTTTGTAGAATCGCCTGATTTGAATTGTTTGCCAGTAAATATCAGGTTCAGCAACCATTTGGGCACTGTGGAAAAATGGTTGAGTCAGAAAGTCACTTAGAATATTGCGACTGCAGAGTGCGGAAGCATACTATTCTTGACCTCATCCTTGACGATGCTCGATCGTTTGATTTTTTTTCCGATCGAGATGATCAGTGGACATGTACTAACTCTATAATCAGCAAAGGGAAGTGATTTATCACACGGTCCTAGCTGTTTTATCATGCATACTCTTAAAGAATTAGCTAGACTTGTATAGTGTAGCAGTGCTCGTTATTTAATTGCTTTCTTTGTTCACAAAATAATAATCATTCCAAGCGGCTTCTTCTTTCTTTCTTTCCATGCCAACATTGACATTGTCAATGTTACGTTCAGTCTGTTTGCTAGCGCTTAATCTGTGAACCAGTGTTTAGTAAAATGTTTCTCCAAAGCAAATGCTCTCATCCGCAACAGGTTCGTGGTGGCAGGCCCTTTATAGATACACAGGAGGGTAGAGAAAATGGAGCTGAACGAAGGCTGCTTTGTATATACCTGTGTTGAATCACGGTTTGTGTTAGTGCTCATTTTAATTTGTGAACAACGGAAACGTACAGCATTGCCAAGTTTGTCTTTCTATTAGAAATTTCTAATCATGCATTTATATTAATATACAGCGTCGTACAATGTTATTCTTAATGGTTATATCTTATCCGGATCAGATATGGGATGTTGGCTTTGGAAAATTTGCCCATAGTTTCCCATAGTATAGGCCTATTATTATTTATTATAAAATACACAAGGTCTGAATATGAGGTACTCTGCAATCTAATTGGTTCTGTACTAGCAGAGTAGCAGGATACTAACTCATATCATGCTAGTAGAGAAAAAAAAATGGCGGCTAAAACTGAATTTCCAACGTTTGCTAACGACGTTTCGCTTTTTATAGCCTTTACAGGATTAAAAACACAAACAAAAACTCCCACAAATTGTTTGCAGGACAGCAAATGAATTTTTAAAATTTAAAATGGTTAAAATATGTATATTTTTCAATTTTTGAAAAAACAATCGGCCGAAAGAGCGAAGATAAAAACATAAACAAAATAGAAAAATATTGAAAATATTCAAAAAGCAAATTAAGTCTGTGAATTCAGACCTTGTGTATATAGTAAAACAGTTATTCCACTCACTCTCGTCGAATATGAGTGATAGCCAATTCCGCGCTGCGCGCCTCATCTGCTATCAGCTCATATTCGACTTGAGTTCGTAGAATAGCTGTTAAATATACGCAAATTGAAACATGCCTGTTATTAAATAATTCTAGTATGAACCAGTCAAATGCATTATAGATTGGGAATAAAATAGGATTGAGGAATGAGAATACTGATATAGGTCCTACTCGATGCATTTTTAATTTAGGACGTAATTACGGAATGGAGATTGAATTGAATTGAATTTATTAATTGACATTCCCTAAAATGGGCTTTTCAATGACAATTTACATGGATTTTAGAAAAAATTATGAGTTATCGACTATATATATTTACAACAATCGTATCAAAGTTATTACATGAACTAAAATTATACTATATATTATAGTTTATGAGTTAAAAAAGTTAAAAAGAAAGACATCGCTTCTCAATAAGAATTGTCTTAAGTTTCGTCTTAAAATTGTTCAGATCACTAATTGATTTCAGCTCTGTATCTAGACCATTCCATATCTTAGTCCCTCGGTATTTGAACGATCTTTGCCCGATCGATGTCCTATATTTTGGAATATCCAGGTCTCCATTTCTTCTAGTATCTCGGTTATGAATTCTGTTTCGTGGTTCAAAATTATCACATAAATACTGTGGAGCTTTGTCATTCATACATTTAAATGTCAATAACGCATCTCTGTACAATAGATGTTCTTTGATTGACAACCATCCTAACGCGTTTAATGTTGGTGATATATGATCATACTTATGCACCCCTGTAATTAATCGGGCTGCGCAATTTTGGATTAATTGGATCTTTTTTATGTTGCCATCTGACGTATTAGACCATACTGTTGAACAATAGTTAATTTTACTCATGACTAATGTATCGATGATTGTAACTAGTGTTGACTGATCAAAGTTGTGTTTCACGCGACCAATCTGACGCAATTTTGAGATACACGATAAGGACAATGCTTGTATATGTTTGTCGTACGTTAGATGGGAGTCCAAAAGCATACCCAAATCCTTAACCTCTGTCACAGGTGCAAGATTTTCTCCCATAAAATTAATATAAACGGGAGATTCCAATTGATTCATAAGTTGTCGTGTACCAACCACCAACATTTTGGTCTTTCCTGGGTTTACAAGAAGACTGTTGTTGCAACACCATTCAAAAATTCTGTGTAGATCCTCTTCTATATGCAGTAACGAGTGTTCCATATGCGTCAATGAAAACGATAAAAATGTTTTCGAATCGTCAACATACGATTCAAGACTACAACTCTTGGGAACTGAAGACAAACTATCTGTGTATATATTAAATAAAAACGGCGATAGAACAGAGCCTTGAGGAATTCCGTACGACAATGCAACAGGCGCCGAAGAGGTAGTTCCAATTCTAACATACTGCCATCTGTCAGACAAGTAACTTTCAAACCACTTATGCACTGCAGAGGATACGCCTAGGTTTAGAATTCTTTGAAGAAGCATGTTGTGATCAACACTATCGAAGGCTTTCGACATATCCAACAATATAACTATAGATAACTTTTTATTATCCATAGCTTCCAACAACATGTCTGTCACTGCAATGTTAAGTGTTTCGGTAGAATGTTTTTTTCGATTACCACTTTGATGCTCCGTTAATAATCTGTGGTTTGTTAGATGTTCTGTATACTGATTCAGTGCGACTTTGTCGCATATTTTTGACAAACATGACAGCAGTGAAATCGGTCGATTATTTGAAGCAATTTCAGGATCCCCTTCCTTGTGTAGCGGTACCACTTCTGCTATCTTCCACATTGAAGGATATGTTGACGTCATCAAGGAACAGTTGATAATATCCGTAACAGGATCTAAAATCACTTCAAGTGAATCTTTAATGAATTGAATATTTATCTTATCGGCACCTGGAGCTTTGTTTGATGGACTATTTAAAATAATTGTTCTAACTTCATCAGGTGTGACTGTTCTAAATTCAAACAGATCAAGAGAAGATCGGTGCCTTGCAGGTGGTAAAGCAGTTGTCATCTGAATGTTGTTAACTTCCGCAAGTCTCTTGACCTTGTCGGCTGCAATCTTCCCCACAGAAGCAAAATATTCATTAAATTCATTGGCTAATTTTTTGTGGTCTTTCTTGTAAACGGGTTTTTCTGAATCTTTGCTTGGCAGACACCCCCTAATCACTTTCCACATAGATCTTGAATTACCTTTAGATAAGGGTATCAGGAGATCTGGAAGACCATGAGACTGATTAAACACTGATGAGGGACGCTGATCAATATTTCAATTATACAATACTAAATTCAACTGAGCATCAACGCGAGCGATAAGAAATAGAATACTATATTCAACAAATTTTTCCGCTTAATATATACTGCTAAAAAAATTTGAAATTTCCATATTTATTTACCTGGAAAAACCTCATTTTTACGCATTTCTTTTGCTAAATATTAATTAAAACTAAATTTTGTGCTTGATTATAAATTTAAAATGTCACGATAAAGCTATCATGAGCCACAGGGGCAGATTCTTGATTGATAGATGTGATTTTTAATTCATTTATCTATATAACAGTATTAACTTTAATTAAATAAAATATATAATTTAGAGGTTCATGCAATATTATGTTTTTCACTGTTTTAGCAATGTCTCAAAGCGAGCCGTCAGGGTGCAATGGGAATAATTTTGTTGACATGTTATCACTAATTTTTTACGTTATTAGCTTTTAGTAATTTTATTCATTAGAAATTGTTTTAAAGAATACCTTCACACATTGCTAAATAAAACTTATAGCTTTTCTTGTGGTTGACAGAACGACGGCTCCGTTTAATAGAAAGAAAAAAAAATGCCCGAGTCCAGCTGTGCAACTGGAACACAACAGGAAGGCATCAGTTTTGTTTACGTCCAGACGTGAAAAGTGCAAGGATATTCTGAGATGACCAACCAATCAACATTCGCGAAAACACTATCTACTTCCCGAGTTCATGCTAATGAACATTATGCAAATTCTGCCTACAAATTGTTTATTTCTTAAAGTGTTTATCACTAGTTTCAATCGTGTCCAACAGACAACCAGATGTACCTTCAAAGCATTCTCATCCAAAATTCCCAAAAAGGCAACTATGGTTTCAAACGATGTTATTCTCTTTTCAGTTGTTTTTAAATGCATCGCAATGATTATTGGAGTTTTGGGAAATATTATAGTTATGATTTATACGATGTTCTTGAGCAAAGAAAAAACAGCGACAACTTTTCTGGTAGGAAACTTGGCAATGGCAGATCTTCTCGTATGTCTCACATTTTATCCAATTTGGATTATTGAGTTAACACAGACTATACTAAACATTGATAGTGATCAGGATCTGTTTTGCAAGTTAAGTCGTTCTACCATCTGGGCATTGCTGTTTGCTTCAGTGGCTACACTTCTCGCAATCACTGTTGATCGGTATTTATATATTGTAAAACCTCTGAAATATCCGCAGATTGTAACACGTCGACGAGTTACTCTAGCTATTTCGGGAATTTGGTCAACTTCCTGTTGTCTTTGCATTATTTTACTAGATCATTACAAGAAATTTGGCTCTGGACTAAGAAGTATTTGCTACGCAGGTGACGATGACATTATTTTTTTGTTAATGAGCGTTTTTGTAGGTTATGTTCCACTTACTTTAATCTTGATTCTCAATTTCCAAATTTTAAACGTTGCACGGAAACAACGGAAAAGAATCTTGGCTGAATCAACGGTAACAGTTAACACTTCCGGCGAACAGTCATCCAAGAGACTGATTGGTGTCGTCCGTTTTCTCGTCTGTTTGAAAGCAGCGAAGACATTTGCTATTGTTGTTGCAGTCTTGACTTTCTGTGTCCTTACTCCAACCGTGGTTGGCCTGGTGATCGAACGTTCCTGTGAGTCATGCTATCAGATTTGGTACATTGTTTTTCAATTCGAATTTTATGGAGTGAACTCAATTGTAAACGCTTTTATCTATGGAATGAGACATATCAAATACAGAAAAGCTTATGGAAATATTCTTTTGAAAATACTTCGTTGTAATAAGCTCACAAACTAAGGGTTTTCATCCTCGCTATCAGAAATGTGTGCCAAGTTTTTACGGTACTTCTCTGGGCTATTTGGATTTTTGAGGAGGCGCACTAATTAGTAGTGCGTAAGAGTACATAAAGGCGCTGATGAGGTTCGGCGTAAGGATGAATTACCATAAAATTTCACTTAGTACTACCATAAAATCTAACTTGTAGGTGCCTCGAAACAGCGCCTGGTTATTTATCAAAGCAGTTCTTGAAGACAGCCGACATCAGTGGACGTACTTTGCACTATGAACTCGACATCTTTATACATCCTTCCTTGAAGAATAAGTCTGGCCAGCAGAAATTTTGTAGCAGCACCGTCACTTTAGGGAACGCCATTAAATAGGACATTAATAATTATTAATCATGCACGGACAGTTTTATACACAATTACATAAATATACTGAGGAAAATTTTAACTACTTACTATAGACTATAGTACTTTTCATGTGCATTGATGCATGCATAATTTGACTATCTAATCAATACAAGATACTGTTTAGGGGGACTAAATTTTTCGAATACTATACAGGAGTAGGCTATAACCGCATTATTTTAAAGATATTTCCAGAATTTTTCTTTCATCAATCCTGAAATTAAGACAAATAATTTTACAACAAACTGAACATTTATCACTGTTTCAATTTGGATAACTAGATCAGTATTACTAACTTATTAGTATGTGGTATATCATGTGTTAAAACTTAATTGTCTTAACATAATTTTTTAATTGCGACAAAGTGTTAGTCATTTTTAAATCTTGGTCCAGCGAGTTCGGGAGAGTGACAGCTTGAAAGGAAATTGTTTGGGAAGTATATACATGTCATTTTATTTCTGAGATTATACCGATTAACATTTTTTTCTAAATAGTGACTGTGAGGAGGAGCTAGATTATAGTATAGAATTTATACGCAAGGTAAGCTGTTGTTTTTTTACATAAAAAGGCTACGGTTCAGCAGTTCAGCCTCAGCGTAAACCGCTTCACTTTCTTGATAGGATCTAATCATATCCTCAATATTGATAAGAAGCTTCGTGTCATGCTTTCTTTGTTTGTTTTGTTTTGGATTTGGTTTTGTGGGTTGTTTTTCCACATAATTTACTAAATATAATAATTATCTTGGTTTAACTGTACATATACTATAAATATATTTATTTCTTATTATGAACTTATTGTCTTATATTAGACATCTTTCGCATAATCCTATTCCATATGCTAATGTTCTACTATAGTGGGAACCCTCTTTAATTATGTAACTTTCCAAACGTGTACATTAATTTTCAATGAAGCGTTAATTAAACTCCTACACAAATCAGGACACAACAATGTTACAATTTTTATTTCGTTTTGCATGCTGTAGAAATGCCCAGATATTTAAACCTTGCAACTCAAATTACATGCATTACGTGTGAACGATTACTTGCAGCTTTATAGGAAGGTCTAGATTGGGGTCTAGATGGGGGTCTGAAAATCAATAAACGTTAAAAAGAGTATATTTTAGAAAGAGTATTTTTTCTTCAACCTTCAAGGTAATTTTGTAGTGTTTTCACGATTGACGGTAACCGAAATTGAGCAATCACAATTATACTCACGATATACCCCATCAACACCCTCTTATATTTTGATATCTTTATCGGCTATGTACATGTCGTGAAATAGTAGTACAACGTGCCTTTGGGCTAGAAAGGTAGTTGCCTCTACAGGGTGTCTATGACGCTTATGCATAATGACGTCACAAGGCTTGATGCCCGCGAGGAATGCTGGTCTTAGTAGTCATCGCCAGGGAAAATTAAACAATTCAAAATGGCCACTGTCGAAATTTCCCCGGGGGTTTCAAGCCTTGTGACGTCATTATGCATAAGTCTATTGGACCATGTTTAATGCAATAATGGACGTTCTTATTGTCTCACTAAGACGAAGATTGACGAGTTGAGATCATTTTAGATAATTTAACATTCAACTTTAATTCGGTCTTGGGAATTGTCTATGTTTGTTTTCCATGCAATTCCCAACGGCGGAAGAATGTGATTTCGACCAGCAATCTTTATTTGACGAGTATGTGGCCATTTCTTATCCCATATAAAGAGTATGTAAAAATTGAATGGGTTAGTCACGTTTATGATGCACGACAGCCTGTTGAATTTCCATATCGTTTTTTAAACACCCTGTACAACTACTGGCTGCAAGCATCGTTCAATATAAGTCCAATATAAGTACCGAATTTTGGCATAAAAAAATGAGATAAAGTCCCTCGAAAGCAATTGCAACGTACTCGTCCGGAAAAATTTTGTACTCCGGAAAAAATATTTTGCCCCTAAAATGGTAAACTGACCGAAAATTTTTTGGCGACGGGGGGGGGAGGTTGTTCTCGGGAAAAAAATTTTTCCGGGAAAATTTTTTTAGATAGGGGCCCCTAAAAAAAAATTTTCCCCTGGCCCCCGCCAACTTCTGGGCGGCCCTGCTTAATAGGACAAGGGTGTTTAGTAGAGCTTCTTGCCTTGCTGGCAAATGATATTTTAAAAGCTCTCAGGACAGCTGATATTACAATATATGCATTGTAGAAACACACAGAACATATTCATTTGCATGTATATATATATATATATATATATATATATATATATATATATATATATATATATAATAGATAAATTTGGCATTTGATAAGCACTACACTATAAAAGTCATTCATTCATGTAAATAATTCAAAAGCTTAGTTACCTTTGTTCTACTTTATGCTTCAGAATAACTAGAACACTAGACATGATAATAAGGCATGTGAATTGGGTATAACCAAATTTGTTTATCGTCTATGGCGGGACTTGTCTGACGAACGTTGTCTTTGACATATCTTTGAATCCATTTTTTGACAAAAACAATTTCATATGAAGACATAAATTACAAACAAAAGGCAGCAACCTTAATCTCAATCACAGCTTAATATGCAAGTCCCAGCGACAAACGCTCAACACAGCGTGGTGTTCTAAAAACGTTGGGTGGGCTAACCACCCCCCTATTTCAGCGCACTGCTATGAGTGATTTCAAAATCAATAATTTTTATAATAAATTTTCTAATTGTGTCTAAAAAGCCCCCTTTTCAAGGGGGGGGGGGGGGTAACTGCCTCTAACACACTTCTTTGAGGGGATTCACTGCTCCGCCTTTTGAAAGTGTGCATTACACTGCCCTATCTATTTCTGAATCAAAACAAATTATCCAGGATGTGCAACTACTGATACATGCAGACCGAAAACAGCATGCTGCATGTATCTTGACAAATTTCGCTGTTACCAGGTTGTATACAGGGTCAGTAAAACCATTGAATTGGTAATGACCTGTTTAGTTTATGCCCTCTGTTCTCGGGCTAAATATATGAACTAAGCTAAAATGAATTTTTGTGACTGGTTTGCCTGAACAAATGTACATGTAATCAGTGTTTGAGACTCGGACCTCAGAAACAATATATCCTTTAGCTTTATTGTTACATTATAATTAAATTAACCTACCAGAAAACATGTTCATAACCGTTGGTGACGACCCCCCTTATCGTCCTTATTTTTTAAATTATTAAATTCCTCCCAGTGCTTGAAGAATATTGTGCCTATCAGCGTCCTTTTTATAATAAGTTCATTGAAGTATAATTAGTAATTGTAGAAATAACATTGTAGAACGCTGTATATTAATGTAAGTTACTAGATATATTTCTAATAGAAAGATAAGTGCTGCACTGTTCTACGCTTCTGTTGTTCAAAAGTTACAATAGCGGAATAGTCAGACACTAATATAAACAGCTCTATGTTTACTCTGGCTAAGCTTTGCCGCCAAAAATCTGTTGCGGGAAAAAAGGCAGGCCTGGGGAAACTCGCAACAAATATAACACTGACTGGAGTCGTGGGAAGATGTCGCGGGAATAAAGGTGAATCTGTCAGAGAGCATTTGATTTGGAGAAAAATTTTACTAATTCAACATTGGTTCACAACAAAGAGTTGGCAAACCAGCGATTGCATCGAACGATATTGTAATTATGTGGCTGCGAACAATTCATTAATAAATGGCCCTATTCCAGGAAATCTAAACGGTGAACATAAGAATCATTTGGAATCATACGCCCACCGACAGTAGAGGGGTTGCGCAGACGATAAACCAACCTATCAAATTTATTTTCAATATTTAAAATTGAATCCCACATTTAAGTAGGCAGGGATATGATCCCATTGACCCATGCTTTGAAACGAAATTGACGGCACTGTAATAAAATTTCTGCCCGGCCAATGATCACTCTTCAAGAAAGGCTGCTGAACGATGAAGAGTTCATAATGCAATGCCCACTGATGTCGGCTCTCCTCACGAATTAACTGCTTTGATAAATAATCAGGGCAAAATATTATAAAAGCATCACCAAACCAAATCCTCAAAAATGGGGTAGACCAGAGAGACACCGTAAAAACCTGATACTAATTTCTGAGAGCGAGGATGGAACACCCTCGGTTTGTGAATTTATTACAGCGAAGTAATTTCATTTTTTTATTAGCTACTAGATATTATATGTCTCATTTCATGAACGAGAGCGTTCACAAATGAGTTCATTTACTAAAATTCCAATGGAAAAACAATCTAGTACAACATCTGATAGCTTCACTCACAAGAATGTGCTATCACCAGGCCAGCCACGGTTGAAGTAAGAACACAGAAAGCCGACACAGGGACAACAATAGCAAATGTGTTCGCTGCTTTCAAATTAAACCAACGAGAAGACGGACGATATCAAATAATTGAATCAGTCTCTTTGGAAATGTTAACAGTTACGTTGGAGGTGTTAACAAAGTGAGTTACCGTTGTTTCAGCCAAGATATACGTTTTCGTTGTTTCCGAGCAACATTTAAAATTTGGAAATTGAGAATCATGATTAATTAAACTGCCAAAAAATAATATCATCAAATACTTCTTAGTCCCAAGCAAAATTTCTCATAATTAACCAGTAAAAAAAGACAACAGGAAGTTGGCAAAATTCCCGAAATACCAAGAAAATCTAGTCGTTTGGCAACCCTCAGCAAATACTTGAGAGGCTTTACAATATATATAAATAACGATCAACACTAATTGCGGGAAGTGTAGTTACTGAACTAATGAAACAGAGACAATCAGCTGTCGGTAGAACGACTTAATTTAATCAATTCCTAAAATAGACCCTATAAGCACAATGATCGATATTGGATAAAATGTTAAACACACGAGAAGATTTGCCCGTGCCAAGTTTCCTACCAGGTAAGTAGTAATATAGAGGCCGTTCGACCCGGATTTTTGTGGTGGAGTGTGGTGGAGTGTGGTGGAGTGTGGTGGAGTGAGGAGGAGTGTGGTGGAGTGAGGAGGAGTGAGGGTGCGTAATGACGTCACTCATTAACATACGTCATAATTATATGCAATGACGTCACGCGGGCAGGTTTAAACAAGGACATGTGAAATTTGCTGACTACGCATTTTTTAGCGTCCTTCCACGTTTATGATACAATGGAGGGGTTAATGTTGGCTTACTATGAACTTTTATACAAGTGTCTGTATAAAATCGACAAGTGTTTTGTAGCAGGCATAGTTCTGTATTTGTTCCACATCAGTCATGGCGTGTCTACACGGTAAAACCACATCTTACAATTTATTGGAAGGAATTTTTGCGAGTGCAGTCGCACAAGGGGTTGAAAGACTTTGTGTGTGTTGAATAGTTTGTGTCCCTCGCATGGCAAAATTGTTATCGAAATTAATATATAACCGTATCTTTGCTCGGAAGAGATAAATTTCCACATGTATATTGACGGATTTTTCGTATGTTCGATAGCGAGGAATCTTTTCCTTACAAAAATCAAGACATATTTTAAACTAAACAGTTCCTAATCCGAGTTGTCAACGTCGTTGTTATGGTCAATATTTACATGTTCAAGATTATTTAGCAATCCTCCTACATACATATATACTGTTAAGATGATCATAAGAAAACTTATCAAGAATAGAAGTTAGAATTAGGACAGTTGTAATATTTTTTAACACTATCGTCTGTTATAATTTGTATCAATAAACATGTTTTAAACTTTGCAAATGTTGCGTCGTTATGCGTTGCTAAGTCATTAGGAGGTGTGTAGGTAATTAAGGGGATTAAGGTAATACGAATTTGCATAACTAAGTGTATCCCGATGGATAGATAGGGATTATTTTTAACGCAGGTGTATACCTTAAAATCAGGCGCGTGGCTTTGCGGGTACATGTATATATTAAAGTACAACATATTTGTACAATGGATCTTTTCGCGCGGGCGGAAAGAGCGGGCTTTGCCGGCAAAAAATTACACAATATTTCAGTTTTTAAACACATTTACTTCTTCAAAATGTTTTACAAAATTTAGTAAGGTCTACTTCTAAGAGCGTAACGTCTAGGTGTTTTTGTTATTTTTAAAGAGTTCTCATATTCTTGTCTATCTTCTGGGGATAACTTTGCAAGTTTTTCCGGCTTCATTGGAATATATTTCGGTCTATCGCTCAATATAAAACGTTCATAATCCTCTCTTGCTTCCGGAGTCATTCGCGCTAGGTCACGTTCGGTCCAATCTGCTGGGTCGACCCAATTGTGAAAAAAATTGCGCTTGAGTTTTGGCCGTTTGTCTTCTGTTGGTGGTGGTGTAAGGAAATTAGGTTTAGGAGTAGCAGGCACTGGTGGTGCTATCTCAACAAATTCATTGGGTTGTGGTATTTCTGCAGGCACTAGTGGAGTTGTCTGAACAGGAGCTTGAGCTGGGACATCCATCTTATTTTTGAATGTGAGAAACCGATTTAGTTGATCAGAGTATAATTTGCTTTTTTCCACTGCGCTTAGCTGTGGTGCATCCATGATTTCTTTCATTCGCTGCTCGGCATCATACATGGCATTTACAAGTGGTGGTTGTCGATAAGACTGTTTTTGTATAAACTTTTCAATCTCACCGGGAAGTATGTTGGTCTTGAGTCGTTGTTGATCATCTGTTGTTGGCTTTAAATCCAACATCAAATAGCCGTGAGGTCGGCTCGTAGCATCTTCATAACTCCTCATAAATTCTTGTACTTTTCCGGGATTTATTTGCCTTGCAAGCATAGAAATTTTTTTTTTATCTCTTGGTGACTTGAACAACACGATATAATGGGCGTTTAGGCTGATATTTCTCATTTCTTTGCCTTGATGAAATATATTTTGAACAATATAGATGATAGATAAATTGCGATGATGACTTCCTTTCGTAAAAAGATCAGAAATACGTTTATCTTTGCCAGATTGAGCCATAAGGTCGTCCAATACGATCAAATTGCGTTGCGATACGTCCAAGTAATCTGCGTTGTCGATGTCTTCGGGGATGCCTTGATTAAACTCGATTCCAGGCATCGTTCTCATCATATCAAAATAGGAGGGTTGCCATTGACCATAACACCAAATGATACGTTGAGGAGCAGGACTTATAGTTTTCTGTGCATTCTCCAAGAGAGATTTTACCCACACAGTCTTACCGCTTTGGGTACAGCCAGCTACGATACATGTGAAAGGATGCTGCAAAACTGTAGATCCTGCTGAGATTTCAACTGGTTTGCTTTGAACATCTCCATGGGTATTCAAAGTATGACGCTTGAGGTTGCCGCGTGTTGAAAATACTTTGGCACATATATTGCACGGAAAGGACATGTTCACACCACGAACGTCTAGCTGGAAGTGATAATAAGTTGGCGTATTCGTTCTATATATTCATTAATGCATCTATCCAGTATTATTCTGTATCTTTATCTTCCTTATCTTTATCCTCATCTTTATCTTTATATTCTTTATCTTTATCTTCTTTATCTTTATCCTTATCTTTATCTTCCTTATCTTTATCATCTTTATCCTTATCTTTGTCTTCTTTATCTTTATTCTTATCATTATCTTCCTTATCCTTATCTTTATCCTTATCTTTATCTTCCTTATCTTTATCCTTATCTTTATCTTCTTATCTTTATCCTTATCTTTATCCTTATCTTTATCATCTTTATCCTCTTTATCCTTATCTTTATCTTCCTTATCTTTATCTTCTTTATCTTTATTCTTATCATTATCTTCCTTATCCTTATCTTTATCCTCTTATCTTTATCTTCCTTATCTTTATCTTAATCTTTATCCTTATCTTTATCCTTATCTTTATCTTCCTCATCTTTATCTTCTTATCTTATCTTTATCCTTATCTTTATCATCCTTATCTTTGTCTTCTTTATCTTTATCCTTATCCTTATCTTTATCTTCCTTATCTTTATCTTAATCTTTATCTTAATCTTTATCCTTATCTTTATCTTCCTTATCTTTATCCTTATCCTTATCTATATCCTTATCTTTATCTTCCTCATCTTTATCTTTATCTTCTTATCTTATCTTTATCCTTATCTTTATCATCCTTATTTTTATCTTCCTTATCTTTATCCTTATCTTTATCTTCCTTATCTTTATCTTAATCTTTATATTCCTTATCCTTATCTTTATCTTCCATATCTTTATCTTTATCCTCTTATCTTTATCCTTATCCTTATCTTTATCCTTATCTTTATTTTTCTTATCTTTATCCTTATCTTAATCTTTATGTTCCTTATCTTTATCTTCCATATCTTTATCTGCCTTATCTTTATGTTTATCCTCTTATCTTTATACTTATCTTTATCTTTATCCTTATCTTCCTTATCTTTATCCTTATCTCAATCTTTATGTTCCTTATCCTTATCTTTATCTTTATCCTTATCTTTATCTTCTTATCTTTATCTTCTTATCTTCCTTATCCTTATCCTTATCTTCCTTATATTTATCCTCTTATCTTTATCCTTATCTTCCTTATATTTATCCTCTTATCTTCCTTATCTGACATGCACAAGGAGCCAAGTTCGATAAGCTCAGAATCGAACTCTCGATAACTCGGAGCCGTGTATAAATTGCTTTCTCTCTTCCGATATAAGCTTCCTTATTGTTGTGTTTTACTCATTTGCTTCCAAACCGTCGAACAGAAATGATCAATCTTCTAAGGCACAAGCCATTTCTTGAATTGTTGGGCACGTCTGAGCCTGATCAACAACAAGCACTACTGGAAACAGCAACCGCCGAACAAGTACACTGCCTGTGTCTCTGTGTAGAAAACGTTATGAAAAGAAAATATTTAATGTCGAAGCATGTAATGAAGAAACTCCGACATTACAAAAATGAAATGCTTAGGTTGGTAGATAGAGGAAAATGTGGAAGAAGAAAAAAACGGATACTCATTCAGCATGGTGAAGGTTTCCTTGGACTATTACTAAGTCCTATTTTGGAAAGCCTGGCTGAACTTGTATAAAAGCCCTGTGACTACAAATTATACATCATTTCAACAATGAACATCGAGAGTAAAACATCTCCGCGACATTGGCGCATTGAAGATATACTTTTGTATCTGAACAATAATGTCAAAAGAACTACAGCAGAAAAAATGCTACATTCTATTCTTATATCAAGTGATATTTTAACTTGGAATCCTCAGGGTGAGATTGTTTATCATGGAAGAGACATTCCTGGTACTAACATCGAGAACTTTTTACAATACCCACTTTTACCATACAACTCTCACATTCCTGAACCACGAGGGCTCGACCTGTTTACAAAAGGTCTAGTAGAAGCAGGGGTTAATAAAGATTTAATTAAAAATGAGTATTTATTGTCAAAAATGGCAAAGGAGGAACATGAAATGCCACAATCTGAGAGTGATGTTGAAAGCGAATCTGGTGAAGAGAACAGGGAATCTGACAAAGGTGATAATGAAAGCGAATATGATGATAATGAGGATGATGATAATGAGGATGATGGTGAGCCCGAGAAACTAGCTTGTAACCATTGTGGAGAAGAGACTGGTCACATTGTATACTTAATGAAGTGCCCAAGATGTTCGTGGAAAGATTTCTACTGGGGCAAAGACGCTCAATGTATGATATGTGATGAACAGTCACCTCTACTGTTTTCACATGTCATTGGTTTCTGCGAGCTATGTTCGTATGGTACGTCTAACACCAAGACGGGTGGATTGGAGTTCACACCAAAAATGGACAAATAAAAGACCCAGCAGATTGGACCGAACGTGACCTAGCGCGAATGACTCCGGAAGCAAGAGAGGATTATGAACGTTTTATATTGAGCGATAGACCGAAGTATATTCCAATGAAGCCGGAAAAACTTGCAAAGTTATCCCCAGAAGATAGACAAGAATATGAGAACTCTTTAAAAATAACAAAAACACCTAGACGTTACGCTCTTAGAAGTAGACCGTACTAAATTTTGTATAACGTTTTGAAGAAATAAATGTGTTTAAAAACTGAAATATTGTGTAATTTCTTGCCGGCAAAGCCCGCTCTTTCCGCCCGCGCGAAAAGATCCGTGTACAAATATGTTGTACTTTAATATATGCATGTACCCGCAAAGCCACGCGCCTGATTTTAAGGTATACACCTGCGTTAAAAAATAATCCCTATCTATCCATCGGGATACACTTAGTTATGCAAATTCGTATTACCTTAATCCCCTTAATTACCTACACGCCTCCTAATGACTTAGCAACGCATAACAACGCAACATTTGCAAAGTTTAAAACATGTTTATTGATACAAATTATAACAGACGATAGTGTCAAAAAATATTACAACTGTTCCAATTCTAACTTCTACTCTTGATAAGCTTTCTTATGATCATCTTAACAGTATATATGTATGTAGGAGGATTGCTAAATAATCTTGAACATGTAAATATTGACCATAACAACGACGTTGACAACTCGGGATTAGGAACTGTTTAGTTTAAAATATGTCTTGATTTTTGTAAGGAAAAGATTCCTCGCTATGGAACATACGAAAAATCCGTCAATATACATGTGGAAATTTATCTCTTCCGAGCAAAGATACGGCTATATATTAATTTCGATAACAATTTTGCCATGCGAGGGACACAAACTATTCAACACACAAAGTCTTTCAACCCCTTGTGCGACTGCACTCGCAAAAATTCCTTCCAATAAATTGTAAGATGTGGTTTTACCGTGTAGACACGCCATGACTGATGTGGAACAAATACAGAACTATGCCTGCTACAAAACACTTGTAGATTTTATACAGACACTTGCATAAAAGTTCATAGTAAGCCAACATTAATCTCTCCATTGTATCATACACGTGGAGAGACGCTAAAAAATGCCTAGTCAGCAAGTTTTGCCCGATCTTGTTTAAACCTGCCCGCGTGACGTCATTGCATATAATTATGACGTATGTTAATGATGATGCGCCACCACAATCTATGCTAATGATGATGCGCCGCCCCCGCGCCACCACACGCCACCACACGCCACCACAAAAATCCGGGTCGAACGGTACCTATATTACTACTA